TTATCGAAGAAGTGTGTATGAACTATTGTTTAATAGCAGAATAAGACTATTAAGAGAGCCAATGCTGGATGTTCGTGCAAATATCTATGATGGGGAGAATAATAGTGTTTGTAATGTCAAACGCACGCGATGAATCAATCTTCCACTTACAAAACTTACTTATCGAGAAACCTTGTGAATCCTTTATATTTTATATAATTATTAAAACCTCCCTACCTATTTTTCACAACTCGATAATTGAATCAACGCGCATGGGAAGTATTAAAATAAGTAGGGGGGTTTTAATAATGATAAAAAATTAGGGGATCCAGGGTCGATTTGTAAGTGGAAGATTGATTCATCGCGTACGTTGTAAAGACCGGAAAATAATTCACTACAAACACTATTATCCTCCCCATCATAGATATTTGCACGAACATCCAGCATTGGCTCTTAACGGCTTTATTCCTCTATTAAATTTAGGTGTTACCTATAGAGCCTTAAGATACATATTTATTTTGTGAACTATTGTGCAACAATAGTTTGCACAATACTACAATTGTACGCAATAATACAAAATCCACTATGATTAATGAAAAAAAAAGAACATAACGCAAGTCATCTGATATATTAAAAATAAACTTATATCAGTGATCTTTTTGCGCGCGCACGTATACATGTCTTTAACCACTTCGCTAGCATTGACGCACTTTTGCGTTAAATAAAGGATGTACCAAAAATGGCATTGACGCACTAATGCGCACATCATTTTATTTTTTTGCCATTAGCAAGATTTTCATGAAACTCAGTACCCAGGGATTTTTGGGGTCGCTGATTTTGAATCTGAATTCTAAATTTAAAAATTTTAAATAGCGGATTCAATATGGCGGATCAAAATGTGAAAAATGACTTGATTATGATGAAACCTGGTATTTGGGAGTTTTTGGGGTCGCTACTTTCGAATCTGAGATTAGTTTTGTCAAATTCAAGATGGCGGATCAAAATACGAAAAGTGACTTGATTTGGATAGAACTTGGAGGTTTTTAGAATCGCTGATTTCGAATCTGACATTAATTTGAACTTTCAAATTTTTATCTCAAATTCGTATTCAGTGACTCGAAAAATACTTTAGTACTGACTTTTATAAAAATCAAACAGCATTTAGATTTTGCCATTTTTGGATCAGTTGGTGCTGATTTTCTCTGCCAGCGAAGTGGTTAATTACAATTTCAATCTCCGTCTTTCTCTCGTCAATTATATTAATTTGATATACTTAAAGAATATCGGTTGATTCGCATAAAAAATGATAAACGTAACAATACGTCGTGGCTACCCGCCGATGGATATATAGCGCTTTGTGTGTAAAGGATGTTAAAATAAATAATAAATTTCTAAAATATATAACTCTCTATTTTCGCACGAGGCTATGTAAATTTTATATATATATATATATATATATATGTATATATATATATTTATATTTATATATATGTACACTCTTAGCGGGAAATATAAACAAAAAGTTCACATGACTATTACATGGTGTTTCTCTGACGGATAGTGCGACGTTCAAGAATCGCTTTCGGCGAATGGAATAAGAAATAAATACGTTTCGTATTTGTTATAGAGTTGCAATTTGTTTTGCGTAGTATGAATATGTTGTTATGCATGTCGTTATCTTATAGACATTCACGGTAAATACTCTCGATAATAATAGTATGTCTATTGAAGACAGACAAAAATAGTAAGAACCCTCTTTCTCTCTGTCTTTTCTTTTCTCTTATTGTGTAAACTTACTCTCACTGTCTGTCTTCGTCAGTCTTATCCTCATTATCGTACGTGATTATCGCGATGTGACGCGAAGCTTTTTTTTTTCAGTCGCGTCGCTCGTTGAATCGCGAAGAAACAGACGAGGGAGTCATGAATTTCGTTTTCCCCGATCTGTGGGAGCTGAGATTGCGCCGAAACGGAAACGCAAGGCCTGTCTTTCTCTTTTTAGCTACATTATTGTAGTACTACGTTGGGGCTTTGTTCCTTTTACCTGTAATATTCAGTTATACAGGATGTCTAGACTTAAATGTAGAAACGCTGCAGATAGAATTATCATTAAACTGAGTAATTCTACTATTTTACAAACGCAATAATTGTTTAGATATTAAGAGAACTTTTTTACACCTTTAAACGTTTGAAAAAATTACCTAGGAATTTTTTTAAACTCCTATATATTTATTGTATGAGTACAAAAGAATATAAAAAATATAATGATTGTTTAAAAAGATTCAAATGCGTTTTTCTCCAAGACTATTGAACAAGTTAACTTCAAAGTTAAGTCCCTTTAATTAAACAAATTGATAAATCAAAGCGCCCGATACTGTGGGAGAAGCTCTGTAGGGCAGCCTGTAAGGGAGATGCTATTTAGCGCTATGAACGCTCTGTCCTTGCTACTTACTAAAAGTTGAACAAAAACAGAGCGCGCTCAAAGCGCTAAATACACAGACTTCTATAGAACACACTAAACCGCTAACTTAACTTTATCGCACATCCTTATATACTATCTACAATATACCCGATACTATATACAATATACGGTGGTCCCTTCAGGAATGTGACTACCAGTGATGTCACCTTACGTTTTGATATTATTTGACCAAATATTTATTACAGATTTGTGAAAATAAAAATAAAGTTTGATAAATATTGATATAGTAATAAATATATTATAAGACATAAAAATATGTAATAAAAAAAATAATATGAATATATATTTCTTTACCCAGACAGCACAAGATCTCCTGAAGACGTCCTAAGGACGTCCTGGGAACGAAGAAATGTCCTCAGGACTTCTTCAGGATGTTCTCTGGATGTCCCCTAGACATTTGTGCTGTTAGAGTAGTTTCTTGTTACAAATAGCTGCATTTTGCAAAATTAATATTTTATTTGCAAAAATTAAATTTGTTACGTATAGAAAATAATAAATTCTGTATCCAAGATATCCATAATTTTGGATTTTTTAAGGGAAATTTAAAATATTTTAGTTTATATATGTATATATAATTCTATTATTTCAATATACTAACCTATATACTAATCTAAAAAAACTTATTTCATTATTTTTTTCCAAAAATATTGGAATATTCCAGAATTGCACACTTTGCATTTTTTGTTATTGTATCCGGGCGTCCTTGCGCTTATCACGACTATATTCCGATATTCACTGCTAGTATTGAAAATCTATAGTTTATGTTACGTATATTATAGATTTTTAGTATTGGCAGTAAATTTCGAAACGTAGCCCATATCGATAATTATATCGCACACTTGCTATATCGACTAAGATATCGATAGTCGCATTCCTTTTGGGACCACAGAAGTACATAATCTTTATGCACAGACTTCTATGTACTACTAAACTGCTAATTCTCTATGATCGGCCTGTAGAAAAATGAGAAAAAATGTTAACGTAGTGTAAGTAGTGGCAGCTATCTTTGTTCAGGCAAAATTCAGTGTGTGAATTACTGGGTTAGGCGACAGTTTCCCGAAAAGTGGAGAGGATAATGTTAGTACCAAGGAAAATTTCTACACGATATAATTTGAAGATCTGTTCTTTGTAACTGCACACTGCTGAACTAATGCAAAAGGTTATACTAAGAAAACGTATACTTGTCTCACTTCAATTTATCACACCAATTCAGCATTCAGCAATTAGCTTCAATTTATTACACCATTCAGCAGTTACAAAGAACAGATTTTTAAATTATATCGTGTAGATATTTTCCTTAGGACCAACATTACTCTCTCCACTTTTCGGGGAACTGTCTCCTAATCAATTACAGACTTCTATATACTACTAGACTGCTAGAGTGCGAGCGTAGCACAATGGACTAGATACTAATCTACCACGCTAGCGTGCGCTCGAAAACTCTATCCGAGTGCACTCGCTGCATTGGAGTGAGAAAGATGCAGGAGTGAGATAAAGAGAGAGGAGAAGCACCCGGGTGGAGTTTTCAAACGCGCCTATAGAGGCCTAAGTTCAATTCCTAGAGGAACGAAAAAATTTTCGTACGCTCGCACTTCTCTCGGGAAGGCTTGGTAACACTCTGAGAGTAGTATAGAATAAGAAATCTAAAGGATAAGAAATCCAAAAAGGATAGTATTTGCTAGTATAAGGTATAGGCTAGGATAAGAAGTAAAAAAAGGCGAAAGAAAAGGAGTAGGCTTAAGAAATAATAAAATTAAAATGGAGAAAAGGAATAAAGAAAAAGCAGGTAGGAAAAATGTAAAATAAGGAAATGTATTAATCAAAGAACTTCCCGGCATTGTAAAAGCTGAAGTAGAAAATAAAATACTACTACTACTACTAAACTGCTAACTCCTTAGTTACAGCTGAGGCAAAAAGAGACAGCCATTTTTGTTAAGGTGTTTTATATATGCACATACTGAATTTTAACAAAGATGGCTGTCACTACTCACACTATGTTAAACTTTTTCCTCACTTTTCTACAGGCTAATTATAAGGAATTAGCAGTCTAGTATATAAAGAGTATAAAAAAGAATTAGCGGTCTAGTGTGTTCTATAGAAGTCTGTGGCTAAATAGCGTCTCCTTGAACGCAGCTCAATTCTGTAACTCCCCAACGACAATGGGTGCAATTCATTACATGCTGCAAACGTTTTAAAACGCTCAAAGGAAACTCACAATTAGTCTATGCGATACTTCAAAGCATTGGCAGCGTCTAATGAATTGCATCCATTGTCACTAGAATGATGTTGTTGCGCAACTTTTCTATCATGTATTATACCTGCGCAACGATAGTGTCGTTATCGTTACGAAGTTAGAGAATCGTATAGCTGAGGAAACACATCTTAAACTTGTTCAAGACTTGTTTCTTGATCTCCTAGTAATGACAAATAACTTTGATTCATATATTAATCATTACCGTGGAAGTTCAGAAAATAGCAGAGGACTTTTCTACTCGATTTGACGAGTTCTACCTGCACAATGAGCATTTTGACATCTAAGTTCAAACATCCTGTACATACCTACTTCACTTAAAGGCAAAAAGTGCAATTGCTAGTTCAGCCAAAAAGCACAGATTCGTAAAGTCGTTTGATTATCACGCACGCGGCGAATCGTCGATCAATTTCGACCGCCCGAAACGCGTTACACCTGAACGTACTGTTCGTCGTCGGTGTCGCCGTTGCTCATTCGTTCCATAGAATTGCCTACATTGATCTTCTCGTAATCCGTCTCATTCTCCGTCGTTTTCTTGTCCTTCACCTTCTCGTAGCCATCCGCGTTCGCGTCCGACAGAAAGTTGTTTACCTGCTCATATGGCGGCTCCTCGTTCTGCGTCACACTCATGTACTTAACGCTCTCGTAGTTCGGGTCACCGTGACACACGGACTCGTAATTGGGATCCGTGTCGCTGTCACCGGGTCGGCACACAGATGCGTAGTTCGGCTCGCCCGTGTCATGAGGCATACTCTCATAGTTGGGTTCGGAATCCGTGTCCTGATCCAACTCGACGCGCCTTCGCAGTCTCACCTTCTCGTAGCCGGGATCCTCGCTACTGGCGTTGCTCACTTGTCTGTGCTTGAACGGCACAGCATACGCCTCCGTACAGTCTCTGATTGACATCGTGCCGCCGCCGGTCGTTTGATAATCGCTTTCTCGTGAGCACTGCGGGCGCAACATCTCGTAATTCGGGTCGGAGTTAGAATTTGATGACGTTGCGCCTTTCGCCGAGAAACTTCTCTTAGCGTTGTTGGAATTGTCGACCGCCTCGTAGCCATGATCGATCTCCAAGTGCGACAGAACGACGGCGTCCGTCGCGTCGGCTTTAGGCAATCTCGAGGAATTATTATCGCCTTCGGTGTGGAAGTTTGTCGCTGTGCCGGCTGCGGTGGCGGGGTAGTGCGCAGGATCTGGTTCCTTCTTCTGGATCTCTACGGATTCGTGGCTGCACCACGACGCCCGGCTAATCTCTATCAGACTTAGTTTCCTACAGGCAGTTGCTTCCGGATATAGAACGTTGTTAGAGGCCGGGTGAATGTCGTTTTGTTCCTCCACCTCCCTCTTCTTCTTCATCACCTTCGCGTACATGTCCTCGAGTGACTTACCCACCGACAGAGAGGACCGCGATCGATCGTCGACTTTGCCTTTCTTGTCAACGGACGCGTACATCTCTGCGCTTGCCTCAGGCGGTGGCGGTAATGGAGAATTCGCTTGACGTTTCTCGGGTTTAGGAGATCCAGGATTGATGATGGAACTGTTGGCACTAGACGATGATGCTAAAGAGGAAAGAAGGGCAGCCGATAACGTGGTAATACTCAATAATTAATTGTGATTCGGGAATTTCTTGCAATTTCTTGCATTTGCACGTTGTTTTACCTTGTCTAGAGTGGGCGTGCGCGACATGACGCAAACTATCGACGCTCGGCGGTTGTGGAGCAGTGTGTGTCTCTTCCGCGCGGGAAGGGGGCTGACAAAATACCGTCTGATCATGTTGCGCTACTCTTTGTACTTCCAACATCGTCGGTTGAATTTGTGCATATGTTTCACTGCCACTGGTATACACCTTATCTTGTTCATCAATCGCAGCGTACATTTCATCTGTGAAGATCCAATTTAGGTATCAGTATTTCATATGTTGAACGACTCACCGCGGTTTTCAAGTTTGTAACTACAATCGCGTACGCATGACTTACCTGAGTCGTCGGAGACAGTAGCGTAATGAGGGTCGGTGATTGGCCGAGTCGATTGGTTTTGTCTATATGCTGCTTTGGTCTGTGCGATTATATTAGCTAATGGCTCCCTGACGCTTATGCTCGTATATCCCTCTGTATATTCAAACAAAAAAAAATTATCAAATGAAAATTGTACTCAGTCCATGTGAGCTAACCATTGTTAAAAGAGCATAATTTATTTTATTTGTTACATTAATGTAGCTCAATATGGATCTTCTTTTCATATAACTTCAAATTCAAGTATCAAGTTATATCAATTCTTAATTAAATAAATAAATAATATTAAATAAATAAATAAATAAAATATAAAATATAAATAAATTATATAAATAAATAAATAAAATATAAATAAATAAATAAATAAAATATAAAATATAAATAAATAAAATATAAATAAAATATAAAAATAAATATAAAAATATATAAAAATAAATAAAAATATAAAAATCGTAAAGTTCTATTTAAGCTATGTTAATGTGACAAATTAAATAAATGATATTCTTCTAATAGCAGTTGATACAATTATTGTACAATTATTATACAATTATTTTTTTCTTTGGAGCCAGTTTTATTTCTTTACATAGATAGAAAAAAGCAAAATAAAATCAAATAATGGCGAGTTTTGTGTACGAAATTACTGTTTTAGGCGTTTAGGTGAAATAAAAGATAGTAAAGAACATTCGCGAGGAATGAAATAATTACTTGAGTCTTGGGAGTCACCACTGAAATGCTGCTGCGGACTATTGTGCTGGGGCTGCGGCGGGTGCGGCAGCAGCATTAAGAGAGGCGGCGTCATGTAGGGTAAGTCTTGATTAGCCTGTACACCACCGGTGATAGCGTTGGCGGCCTGGATGTCGCAATGAGAGTCGGAGCTGAGGAGCGAATTATGCGAAGACGATCGGCGGGTACGCGGCGGCGCTACTGGATTTCCGCTCGATTGACCCATGGCCGACGTCGACGGCTTTTCGATGTTCGCGGCTTGATTAACATTATTTCTGCGTCATATAAGAAGTAAATGACATATGCAGTTTTCTTTGATGAGAAAAAAATGTAGCAGATATTCGTACCTATTTACTTGACTAGCCTCAGTTTTCTGAACACTTTGAAGTTGTGCGTACGGGTGTTCAACTGAAATCGATAAATAGCGTTATCACCTGGTAAATGTAGAAAATAATTTAAGGGTCTACAAGAGCCTTAGACAAATCCTGAGTTGACTTTGGAGACCTCGTGCGGGGAGAGCCCGAAGCTTCTGTGTGTATGCTTAAGTTTATGTCCATATACACGCATCATAAGCGTATTATTCGCGCGGACGCAAGAACAGGAAGGGTCGAGCTACCTGAACACAGACTAATGCCCAATTTCTTCATCTCCGGTTAATTTTATCTGTCGGATAAATGTCAACCGTGATTGGTTAATCTTGCCAACCATAAATATGATTGATCAATTCCAATAGAATAACTGGCAGATAAAGTTAACCGGAGGTGAAGAAATTGGGCATAAGGGTGCGGTTTAACAACCGCTACAAATGCTGCGCAGCGTTTCTCCCTCTTGTTCTATTCCTCAGATTTTAATGAATAAAGAAAAAGAAGTAAAAACGCTACAAAGCATTTGCAGCGCCGGCTGGACCGTATCCTAAACACGGACATGGACTAGAGGCACAAGGACTAACACGTCCGCGGCGGGGAGAGACCGCCATATTGGTTTCTCCTATCGCAAAGGGTCTGTTTTCTGTTTCTGCACTGTTGAACTGGTGCAATAAGTTAGAATGAGACAAGTATATTTTTTCTCGCTCTAACTTATTGCATCAGTTCAGTAGTGCAGGAAAAATAAACCTATAGAATTCATACTAGCGTACATGTGAAATGAAAAATTGCGATCTATTTGACTCATCGAAGCATTTGTAGCATTCGTAGCATTAAGTAGACCGAAATCTCAAAATAATAGAGTTTAAAACGACATTTACAGTCGAATCTTACATTTATGATCGTCTCAAGTTCATTTTCAATTGCTATATGGATCGTTTTATATGTATACCCCTAATTTCTTACTCACTATCTCATACATCTTACTCACTACGTAATCTATCAGACGCTCGAGATACCCATATAGTGAACGTGGGAATATCACTGACATATATCTATGTCTATATATAAGCTAAGAAACCAATATAGCGACGAGCAGTTCCCCCGTATGCCTGAGTGTATACCTCTTTCGTCCAAAGTAAGACTCGTTTAGACTCCGTCCCCCTATTCCTTAGTCCGTGTACCTGAACTAAAATGCAGTTATACTGCACTTTCCGTAATATCACCACAGTTTGTCTCATATATATTATATTATATTCACTCACCAAACTATATATTATATTCACTCACCAAACAATTTTTTATATCTTTCTTACGTTAGTACTAAGGGTGCTACAGAGCCCGATTTTGGCGTTAGGCTCTTAAAAATTTTTAATTAATTAAAATATAGACTCGTACTGCACCTCAATCTAATGTTCACTCACAATAATTTAGACCATTTTTTTTTCGACGTTTCTTCCCAAAAAAACGCTATGTCGCACCCTTGGAATTATTTTCCTGATTATAAATATCATAATCATATTATGATTTTTTCTGTAGTTTGTTCAAAATTTGGCCAAATATCAACGTTTCGGGTCCTCCGCGAAATGTCTTTACTATGACTCCTGTAGACCTTTAACTCTTTAAAGCACACATTTTTTCTTTTATTTCTTTTCTATAAAACTTGATATTCGAAGGGTTTTTGGAAGCGCTAATTACAAATTTGGAGTCAGAATTTTCAAAATTTTCAAAATTCAAGATGGCGAATATAATAATAGAGAGCTAAAATTTTTTTGCAAAAAAAAAATAATTTACGTAAAGCTTGGTATGCAAGGGTTTTTGAAGTCACTAATTACGAATCTGGAGTCAAAATTGGAAACATTTCCGAAATTCAAGATGGCAGATCCAACATAATGGACTGAAATTGCTATAAATCCTAAAAAAAAACAATTTACTTCAACTTTGATATTCTGGAGTTTTTGTGATCGCTGGTTACGAATTTGAGCCAAAATTGAAGAATTTTTTAAATCCGAGATTCCGAGCAGATCTCAAAAATGGTGAACAAAAATTATTAAATTTTCATACTTTTGAGTTGTTATATTTAGCTAATCTTTGCGAATTTCGAAATTCTGACTTCAGATTCAGAATCAGCAAATCAAAATACAAAAATACGAACTTTTAAGGAAATTGGAGTTAAAAAGTACTACTTTTTTTAATTTTGGAAGATGTTATACCATGCTTCAAAGTGGTTAATAACGTACATACCATTGTCAGAGATGGGAGACGCAAATCTTGCGTATTGATGAGATGTGTCTTGTGTCATAGAACTTTGTTGAGAAACCTCTTGCGTTTCTCTCTCAGATATCTGTTCTTGTCCTGGAAGATCACATTACAAATGGAATAATGATATGAAACAGAAATACAGAAAATGATATAATGAAATAAAAAGTCAAATAATATAAAATCTAATATAATCATTCATAATGCAGGAATCGTTACTTCAATTTTATTATCTCAATATCATTAATTCGCATCACATTGCTCCCACAATATTACCTGTGTCTTGGACTGTAGCGTAGAGCTCTGAATGGTCCCCCATGGTCTCGGTGGTCTCATAAATATCCTGAGGTACTGACTCGGCTATATCTTCATGTTCTCTGCTCTTGTCCTTTGGAATATCCGGAAGACTTCTATTGGCACTTGTAGTCCTACACGAATAAAATATCTTGTTTAATTGAAATATATTTTGTATCTTATTGCAGAATGGATTAATAAATTAAATGAAATTAGTATACATTTTCTCATATTATATATTATATAGGATTATCAATTTTTCATCCATGGGACAGTAAAAACGTTTAAAAAGACTTCGGTGCTTGGTTTAATGGGATTAATATTTTTCGTTCATTTTATTAATAATGTATGACATAAGACTGTGCATTGAGAATGATGTAAACTATTAAAATAAAAAAACATGGGCAAATATACAGGGAATTTTGGTTAATCACAATATATGGACAAATTTCAAATATAATTTAACATGCTGTGATAGGATTTATGCAATACCTTGTAAATTGTTAGTAACAGTTTTTAATCTTCCTTTACCATTAATAACACAAATCACTTGAAAGATTACAAGACAAAAGTGAGATTGGTCCATACTATATAAAATATTCTCATACAATTGAATAAATGATTCATACAATTGAATAAATTTGAAAATAACTATCAATACAACCTATTAAAACTATTTTTAAAAAAAAGTAATCAATACTCACTTCTGGTTTAGAACCCTTCTTTTAATGGAGACAAGCACACACAAATTGTGACGTTCAAGTAGCATAGAATAGTGGCAAATTATCCAAAATGTTAGAGAAAAGAATAGGTGAAATTAAAAGATGTATTTGCTAATAGAGAGACTGCATGCAACCAAGTCACTTTTGAGGTAGAAACCTTTTTCCACCATCGCTGACATCCTGCACAACAACTTGGGATATATCCACTGTCGGAACTCTGTTGAAACCATCTGTTTCGGAATTATTCAGTGTTACCATACCAGCGAGCCCCAGAAACTCATTCCTGTCATAATACGATCGCAGTTGTACAACAAATACGAAATATGCAGATATACACATCTGTAAAAACTGACAGTGTTACAATCTACAAAGATACAATGCACTAAGTAATAGAAAGTAACTGTATAGACATCTGTGCTGATGCAAAACTATAAAAGTCTGTGCTACATTTATGAAAATTATCATCAGTTTGGAGTGGATCACAATCTCAGTGAGTACAAGTTGAACAGAAAAAAAATTTACTGTGAGACGAAAGTAATCTTATTAACAACTATCTAACGTTGCAGCATCCTTCGTTACACCTGCTAACAATTACGGCACAGTGAGTTATCGACATAAATTATTGCAAAATCAATTCGAAAGGACCAAATCAATGAAATCTGGCGATTAGCGACGTAAGTGTGGCCGCGATGCACTTACTTGTTTTCGTTACGTCGACAGCTGCAGATACAGGCGACGACGAAACCAAGGAACGACAGCAGAGCGCCGATCGAGACAGCCCAGTAACACCAGGCATCGTTATCTTCGAGGAAAAGGTTTATCATGTTATAAGCTTCCCGCTGGACGTACTCTCGTGTCCTGAAACGCGACCGAAAACGCCGCTGTCAGAGCATCGCACGCGCGACATAACCTCAATGCGTGTGTCATGCGAAACCGAACACACCCAGGAGCACTATTACGCACACGCCTACGGAGAGCCTATCGCCTACGATAAAGTTGTTCGCAAAACACGCATATACTTCGTTCGAGTGGCCTTGAAGCCTATCTTGCTCGAATTTTCATCCTGCAGTAATAGAATTCATCGTTAGGTTAGAGGATCTTCCACTTCCCGTTAGCAAATAAAGAACAAAAGTCTACGACCTGCTGCTTGTTTGAGTTGTCAAAGAATAAAATACTTTATTTATTTTTTTAATTAATTCTTGAATAGTATTATTTAAAATTGAAAAGTATAATTGATTAATTATTAAGTCGTACTTGAAAATCAAAGCATTTTATTTTAATTGATCATTGTAGATTGAAAATAAGTGTCGGCTGACGTATCATTGAGTCATACTACTTGAAAAGTGAACGTCTGCTTGATCTGTTTTATTGAAAATTGGTTTACTATTGTATATGAAATATTTAGTCTATATTTTAATAATATTTTGAATAAAGATTTTGATATATTTTTCCTTTATGTACATAAAATATTTATAAAATATTACTACATATTTATTTTTTGTTTATCATAAATATTGTATAAAATATTTAGTTTATATTTTAATATTTTGAATAAGGATTTTGATATTTTTTTCCTTTATATAGAAAATTCCTATATAGAAAAATATTTATAAAATATTTATATAATATTTTTAAAAAATAATTCGAAATAAATATTTTTATGAATCTTTATCATAAATATTGTGTACTGTCTAGGTAAGACATAATCCTTATTTGATTGCTCGCTGTTTTCTATGCAGTCTGCAGTTGTAACGCAACAAGGTAAAAATAACGCCACATGTATGTAAAAATTGTGTCAGTGTATATGCGTGCAAGTCAAAAGATTGACTCGCGGTGTCAAAAACAGTAGTACGACTTCGAGCCCGCGCACGTAGCGTTCTCCTCCCTTCACTTACGCACACAAAACGCTCTGCCTATCCGTGTGACGATCGTCTTTGTAAAGTAGACTGAGTGCTTTGTGTGCATAAGTGGAGGGAGAAGAACGTTAGCGGGCGCAGGCTCGAAGGCCGCATGACATCGGAAGCAATGCTGCGAGTCGCGAGATTTTCTCCGCGATAGGAGGCCTTCTGCGGATGCGTACAGTGACGTGGCAGTCTACTATTGGATATCGTATCATTTGCGCATGCGCAGCAGACTTCTTGCCGCGGATAAAATCTCGCGAACTCGCAGCACTGATCGGAAGAACGGGCGATGGTAACGAATGCTCCGTAGCATGTAAGTACGTTACATGTCAATTTGTATTATTGTATTGTTTTGTGAAGTTAATTCTTCATCGCAGAACTTGCTCACACAATACATCTAAAATTAAGACATAAGACATCAAAAAGACGTCAGAGTGCTTCGCATAAGAAGGTCAGAAAGACGTCTTATGTCCCGATTTTAAAAGTTGCGTTGTGAATGTGCACAACATGTCATAGTGAAAAAACATATCCAACGAGAAAAGATTTATAAATTGTCGTTGAAATCGTCGATTTGACATCGTTTAGACGTCAATCAGCTGGTTATTTCTCCCTGGATACTCAAAAGTCAAAGGAAAAAAGAATGAAAAAAAGAAACGAAGTTTCAATGCTACATTGGTTCAAAACAAACTTCTTGTAATAAGAACTGTGCGCTTTTTCATCTGCACTTATATCCATAAACGATTAAAATACAGATGACAGGCATATTTTGGTGACACATTTACTCGTAGTAATATTATAATATATATTAAATGTTATGTAGATCTGACAAAAAAAGAAGGAAGAAAGAAAGAGGAAAATGAGCAGAGAAAGGAAAGAGAAGGAAGAGAAAGTGGAGAAAGGGAGACGTAGAGGAAGAAATGGGGAAGAGGAGGAAAGCAATGAAAAGTTAGTATTTTTGCTTTATTTAAATGATACGTTACTTTTAATTTTTTATTAATATAACTTATTATTATTATTACTTTATTCATAGTCAGACTTTATATCTATGGTCTCCTTAAGTTCATCTTTAGATGTTCTGTAGCCAATAAAATAATCCCTGGAGCATCTGAAGATCCTTCCTTCCTTCAATATATGGCTACAGGCCTCTATAAGAGTAATGCCCCTACGCCAGTTTCCGATTAATGATATAATTTGAGAGTAAAGTCTTGGAAATTTCCAAGACACGATCCAAAAAAATCACAAGGTCCGAACATGTTCGAACACGTCTTGTCGTGACGGCGGTTAGGCCGGAACTTTGAGCATCTGAAGATAAACTTAAGAAGGTCTTAAATATAAGGTCTGACTATACTAAATATAGTTCTCAATAAAATGATTTGTGTAAGTTTGGTTTTTATCTTTTTTTTATAAATAACAAAAAATTTAGTTTACAGGATGTGAAAATAAAAATAGAAAATATAAAAGAAGAGAAAAATATTGAGGAGGAGGAGGAGGAGGAAGAGAAGGAGGAGGAGGAGAGAAAAGAAAAAAAGAAAACAAAAAAAAGATTTAAGAAGGAAAGAAATCAAATGTAAGTCCAATTAGCCTACATTTATAAACTATTGATAATATTTCAATGTTATATATATATATATATATATATATATATATATATATATATATATA